CCTGAGTCCCTGAGAGATGTCACAAGGAAAAACACTTCATTTCTCCCAAACCTTCATCCCAATTGCTGGCCTTTTCTGGGACTTGGCAGGGCACAGGTGGGTGGAGAGAGGATGAAGTAAGACAGCTCATCCTCAACAGGCCTCCCGACCTGCTAGCCCAGCACAATCTCAGCAGGTCTCAGCCTGGGAACTGCCCCACCCTCTGCCTGCCCACCACTTTCCTCAAGAGCAGCCCAGTCTCTGTATTACCCAGGCCTGATTTTCCAAAGGAACTACTTGGGGATTGTCATGTGCTGAAGGCGTGGTTATTGTGGCACTGACAGGGTGGGGTAAGGGCAGGGTGGAGTGGGATGGGGAGAAGCCAACACACACCCTCTCCCTAGGGCCTGGTGCTTTGCACAAGTGTGGAAACATTTTTCTCCTGAGTCTTCAATTGAGAGCAATTTAAATTCCTGTAGCTTTGGGGGTGGGGCCTCAGAACCTGGGGTGAGCTAGTGGGTGGGGCCAGAGAGAAAGGGCCGAGCTGCTTAACCAGGGCTGACTTTGGGGAATCACAACCCAGAGGTAATAAATCCTTAGTAGGGGTTTCAAATAGGAACCTGGGGCCTTTCCAGAGGAAACCACAAGAGCTCAGGACACGGCCAGAGACTTCTGGAGAAACAGGGAGAAACTTCTAAGGAGAAACAGGGACCCACCACAGCCCAGAGAGATGGGGGAAAGTAAGCTAAGAAAGGAGGGGTAGTCAAGGGCTAAGAAGGGCATTGCCTAGGCAAGAGAGCATAAGAAGAGGATGGGGGAGGGATCCCACCTGGGAGATGGCTCAGTGAGTAAACGTGCTTGCCTTAATTAAGCTTGAATACCTGAGTTGGATCCCCTGGATCCATATAGTGGAAAGAGTCCTCTCCTACTCTCTCTGCAAAGCCAAGGGATGACAAAGCAATGACAGTGACTCCCACGATCCAAAAGTCCTTCATCAATCCGGGGCAAAGGAGTGGGTTGTAATTATCTTCCCTCCTCAGGAGGCTGCCTGGTTGTACCTTTGTACTCTAAGGCTCCTGAGGGACACCTGGCTGTCCTTTGCTGGGCTCCACATCTCCCATCAGGTTTTGGGTGGACAAAGCTAGAAAGAGGCAATGGGAACAGAGTTCCTGAACTCAGACTCTATGACCAGTCTACCCCCAGCCAGCCTACAGGAGGCTCCAATTCTGGCCCATGTATTACAGTTTGCGATGATTTAGAGTCTCCTCAATCACAAAGTCCACATGGGATCACAAAGGATGATTGTACTGTACCGGTGTCATTGTCCCCAGTCACATTCCATTCTCCTTCTGGTAGAATGTCCGAGCAAGCTGAACTCTCAAAGGGAGATCACATTTAGGCAACTGTGGATTCCTGGAGTCCAGCCTGGTTTCTCCTGGTTGCCTCTACCCAGTCCAAGTGAGGCTGTTCAGAGGGCCTGGCTCTGGGCCCTGTTCTGAGCCCAGTCCTCCACCAGTACAGGCCCCCAAAATCTGAGGTCCTACTCCACCCTTTCTAGAAACCCAGTTGCAGAAACAGGAGCAGAGGTGCTCCTGGGAGCAAGCTCTGCCACTTCCAGTCAGGTACAGAACAGGCCTGACCACGTGCCTGGAGGACATTCTACAGCAGCAGTGCCCATCCACCATAGTCTCCAGTGGTCTGTCTAGGGACTGAGCTGTAGTGAGCTGGCTTCGTCAAACCCAATCCCCTGAGAGAGACTGACATGTGAGACAAGCAGAACAACAGTGGCAGGGGCTAACACTGACTCCACACTTAGTCAGCACTAAGCACCACTCTAATTGCTGAATACCTCATTTCACTCACCCTTCACATCCATCCCACCTTAAGATAGGGGAACAGAGGCAGAGGGTAACTTGCCTAAAGCCCCAGAGCCAGAACTTGGCAGAACCAGGATCTGAGAGGAGAAAATGAGGTTCTAGGTTCAGAGCACAGGGCTGCAGCTCTGAGGACTGGATTCAAGCCAAGTGGGCCTCTGGATAGCCTTCTCTCGGCTGCCCCACCTCTAAAGCAGACATAGCAGGAAAGAGCTCTGCCTAGGCCACAAGCTTGCCTGAAGAGCAAGTCTGATAACAAGATAGATGAAGGGTCTCTACTATTCTGATCCAGGGCCAAGAGGAGCATATGGGTAGACACAGGGCACTGAGAAGACCATGAGGCAAGAGGCCATGGGCCCAAAGTAGGACAAAGTTGGAACTGAAGGTGATAGAGCAGATGTTCAAAGCGGAGTACAGAAAAGATGGGTATACCAAGAGTCAGGATGTCAAGTGTGCATAGATCCCACTCCTCTCTGCCTTCTGACCCTCCCCATCCCCAGTCCGCCTCAGTCCTACCAGCTCTCGGGTGGTTAGGAAGCTCCACCCACTTTTGGCCACACCCACACCTCTGGTGTTGGGCTCAGTTCCATGGTAAACACATGAGCAGTAGGTGGAATGGATGAACTGAGGCAGGAGGTATACTTATGCTCAGGAATCCATTTGGGTGTATTTGTACACACTTCCATGTCCCTCTGTTCCCTAGGAATGTTAGAGGGAGTACAAAGGACACTTGGCCTTGGCTCATACCTGCATTAATTGATCACCTAGGTATGCCCCTATACTCTGTCACTATCTTGCTCTCTCTTAGTGAGTGAGATTGGCAGGGCCACCTCCTTTGGGTTCACTTATTAGTGAACACTTCATGATCCACGTAGACCAGGTCTCCAGACTAGACCCAGAACTCAGTTTACCCTGTGATGTTCCACTTAATGACCTGTTGGGCCTCCTAGGGGGCAGTGTCTGGACACACATAAAGATCTTTCTTGAGGAATGAACCTAGAGGACATTACCCCCAAGTAAAATAATCCAGGCACAGAGACAAATGTTGCAAAATATCATTTGGACACAGAATCTAAAAGAATAGAACTCATTGAAACAAAGTCAGATGGTAGTGGGTTCACACTGGCCAATGAATACAAAATTAGTTAAATGGAAGATAAGCTCTGGAGTTCTACTAGTTAGTGAAAAAGCATTGTATATTTCAAAATACAGAAGTTCTCCATTTTCTGGTGAAAGATACCCACTGGATACCTGAGACCAAGGCTTAGTACCAAGCCCTATCACATATGATTTTTTTTCTTTTCTTTTTTAAATTTTTAAAAATTTTGTGTGTATGAATAGTGTTAGGGCTGCATGTGTACACCTGTGTCATGCAGTGCCTATGGAGGACAGAAGAGGGCATTATATTCCCTAGAACTGGAGTTACATGGACAGTTGTTAGCCATATTACGACCCTTTTGTCCCCACTGGAAGACGCCTAGATTCTGCTAATTAATATGATTCTTCAAATGCACCAGGCTGCCTCCTTTTTCCAGGACTTGGTATATGCTGCTGCCACCAACACACATTTCTTTCCCTTGACTTTCTCCTCCTTCTCCTCTAGGACTCAGCAGATACACTTTCCTCCAGAAGGCCCTCCTGCTTGCCAAAACCAGGGGAGGCCCAGTCTGTGCCTTTTATGAAACCATCCCACCAGCCCTATGACCAGCACAGTTCCTATAATCAGAACTCAGAACATAGTTACCGAAGGATGGATGTGGTATGGTTTGAATGTGAAATGGCCCCCCACAGACTCGTGTGTTTGAACACTTCATTCTCCAGTTGTGGCACTGTTTTGGGAAGGTTGTAGAACCTTTTGGATGTAGGGCCTAGCTGGTAGACATAGAGCCATAGAAGAGGGACTAAAGAATCATAGGCCTGCTCCACCTCTACTTCAGGCCGCCTCTACTTCCTGATCTGCTGAGGTGGGTGAGACAGCTTCATGTTCCTACTGTAGTGTTTTCCCCACCATTTTGGACTCTCTGATGTATAAACTGAACCAAAATAAATCCTTCGCTCAAGTTGCATCTGTCAAGTATTTTGTCATAGCAACAAGGAAAGTGCTAATAGAGGAAGGATAAATATGTGAAACTATGACCACAGACTAAGCCCCTACCAGTCCCCAGAACCATATCATTTCATGTATGTATCACTGGCATCTATCACAGGACTTGGCACATAACACAAGATAAATAAGTCTGTATTATGTCCAGAGAGCAGGAGGGGTGGTGCCTGTAGGAACAGATTGATCTAACAGTGTATAGTAGAAGACATAGGTTTGGTTAGCAGTTACAGCAGGGCCCAGATGCTCAGCGCAATGAGGGAGAGATCCACTCTGCCTGAGAGATCATAGGGAGCTTTCTGAGATGGGGCTTATGGGATGTTGCTGATGAATGGCAAAGAGAGAAGGGGAAGAAAGATCCTAGCAGAGATAGGCCTGAGAAAGGCCAAGTGGTCCAGGAGAACCTGCTCCCCTCACGGGACTGCCTTTAGAGCACTGTTGAATTAGGTGCTCTCCTGCTCCTTGTAGTTTCCCTGGCCTTCTGCTAACTGGAATCTGTGCTGCCATACTGTCCTCTCAGCTCAGAGATCTTAAAGCCCTAGAGTTTATGAAGATCATGAGAAAAGGGAAACTGAGGCCCTCAGACTGGCCCAGGCCTCTTGGCAGCTCTGGTCTGAACAGCTGCCCAATGAAACCAGCTTTCCTTCCTCCCTCAAGGGCTCTCTGCCCCTCAGACAGTCAGTTCTTAGTGCCCTAGCTAGGAGAAAAAAGAAAACAGGAACCATCCAAAGAGGCTCCATTGTTCCCCCAGCAAGTGACTCACATGGGGAACGCTCCCTCCCTATGTGACAGTGCTCTTACCCAGTATGCTGCTCCTAGTGACTCACAGTGGCTAAAATTACAAGCCCTGCTCGCTGTTTGCACCTCCCTCCTGGACTCTGAGAACATGTGTACACTATTTGGGCATCTGCCTCTTCCCAGGTGGAGGTGGGTAGGAGCAGACCAGACTGGGGCAGAAGTTCTTCCAAGCTGGACAGATACTAGGTCCCTAATTCCCTGTGACGCTGCAGAGAAGTAACAGGAATGACATTTAATCTGTGCAGTGTGCTGGCCTTTTATTCCTGGTATAGTATGGGCATGGGGGACAGGCAGGAGTGCTGGCTTCTAGCTGGGCTGGATCCCACTTTCCAGACAGGAATTGGGTGCTTGGGAAGACCCAGAGCTGGGATGCACAGGGCAGAGACACAGGCAAGGAGCAGAGCTTTGGTGAGGGCAGTTCAGCCTCTATTTCCAGCGCCCAGTGACTTTGGCCTTCCCACGGGTCTTGGAGCTGCAGGGGAAGCAAGACTCCATCAGATGGGTGGCACAGGGTTGAGTGACAAGACTCCATGGGGCAGAGGACAGGCTAGGGAAGGCTAAGGGTTGAGACAAACAGCCAGGGACAAAATAGAACAGCAGCCTTGGGCCCTCCCCCCACTGGCAAGAAATGGCCAATGGTGAAAGAAGGAAGTTGTAACCTGAAGGAGAGAAGGAAGAGCCAGAACCCTCCCAGCAGTATGGGGAAGGAGGAGGCCAGGTGTGCCATGACAGGAGGGCCTCAGACACTTACACTTTCTGGTTGTCATTGATCCTGTTTCGCAGAACATTGATCTGCAAGAAAAGCAAGAAAGACAAAGAGTAAACTGGAGCTCGGCTCAGGTCCTAGAAGGCCTGGGAGCGGAGAAAGTGAGGCTCAGTATAGCAGCAGGGTATGGGGAGGAGGAGGAGGAGGAAGGCACCAGAACACTGTTGGAAGCCAAACAAAAGGTCAAATGCATGAACTAGATGGATTGATGGGGGAACAGGACAAAAGGCTGGCAGTGGTAAGGATTGGTCAAGCCAGGAGCATAGCGTGGAGAAGGGCATGGCAAGTGGCTCACTTCATATTTCTGCTGCTTGAACTTTTCTTGAAGATCGAACTTCTCAGCCTCCAGGTTGTAGATGCTCTGCCATAGCTCCTTGGCCTTCTCTCTGCAGGGGCCACAATGGGAAAGAGGTGAGAGACGATAAAGGCAGACCTTCAGCAGCCTTCACTTTGGTCCTGAACCCAGCCTCCAGGGGTCCCAGCCTGCCTTTCCACATTTAGGCCTGCAGAGGATGCCTCCAGCCCATGGCATGGACTTGGCTATTCTGAGGCCCACCCAATATGCCCAGTGCCCAGGAAGAGACACCAAGGCTGCCAGAACAGAATTCTGGGAATAGGAAAGAAGAGGTACTGGTACTGGAGGTCAATCAGCCTTCCTACCACCTGTGTGCAGATAAACAAGCAAGCCAGAGCTCAGACAGCTAAGAGGCCTGCTCAGTTCTCTTTGTCTAGCCCAGACAGCAGGTGACTTGACCTGCTGAGAACCAACTCCAGCCCTAGCAACACACCTTGGCAAATGTGTGAGAGAGTAGCTCCCTCTGGTGGTTCACAGTGAAAAGTGCCCTCCACATTACTGAAGCAGAGTGCCAGGGACTACCCCAACCAACTGGCCCCACCTCAATTGGTCTTCATTCAGATGGTCAATGGCCAGCACTTTCCTCCTCTCTGCCAGAATCTTCTTCTTCTTTTCTCGCTCAGTTTGCCTTTTCCCACTCTTCCGCTCTGTCTGAAGGGGATGGTGAGCAGGGAGACTTGGCTAGAGACAGCTCCTCCCTGTCCGGGACAGCCCCTGACCCTCCCAACACCTCCTAGGGACTAGGGCCAGGCCTGCAGAGGACTAAGTACTTCACCTCTTGCTCCTGTAACATAATGCCTTCTGAATTCCCTGGAGAAACTGAGGCATGGGCAAGGAGGATCACCTAGGGCCCTCCTCCAGTGCCTAACTCATCTTCTCCAGACTCCCTCCTCCTACCACTCCTCCCCCAGCAAGTTGTGGTTTCCTCTAAGGGAGCACCCTAAAACTAAAAGGAGGAAGAGGGTTTGAGGTTTTGTACCCACCTGGGCTTGCTAAACCAGGAAACCATGAGAGAAAGACCCAGAGAGAAAGATCAAGACGGCCACAGAGACATAGAGAGAAGGCAGGGCAGAAGACAGAAAGACAGGAAGGAGAAAATGATTCAGGTGCTCGGCAGAGGCTGCTTGCTGGGCCAAGCATGAGTCTGGGGCATAGGACAGTTTCATTTGATAGCATTTGGTTGATATGGTTATTGTGAGGATACAGACATGATGCCAGAGCTGGGAACTTTGGAAATCTAATATAGGTGTGTGTGTGTGTGTGTGTGTGTATTGATCCCTCCATGCATAAAGAAAACCAGGCCCCACCTTTGAAAGGGGGTTATCTAGTATAAGTGAAGAATTAAGTGCCCACAAACAAACCACCCCATATCTGTGTCACACACTTTCCGTGTTAACTCATTTGCTCTTCTCAAGCAGCAAGGCAGATATTATTAGGCCCATGTGAGGAAACTGAGGCTCAGAAGTTGTATCAGGCTATGCTGCTATGTGTGACAGAGCTAAGTCTCTAACCAGAGTACTGACTCCAAGTCTCCAGAATCCCCCTGCAGGCTGGAGAGCTGGCACAGCCATTAAAGGCTCAGATTCACAACCGAAAAAAAAAACCAAGATTCCTCCAGCTGCATCAGCTGCGTAGGCATATTGGTGCTCCAGCCTCAGCCCACTCTCTGCTCCTTTAGCTCAGGGACTGGGCATGAGGAAGAGTCAGACTTCACCCACAGTAGATGGGAATTCCTTCCTGGATCCAACCAAAGTCAGCCTTAAGGATACACCAGAACCTCCTGGTAACCCCTGCTGCCTCCTACCCACCTTCTGAATGTATCCTCCAAAATGCATCATGTTGGACAAAGCTTTCTTCTTTCGTGCCTCATCCTCGGCCTTCCTCCTGTTCTCCTCCTCCTCACGCCGGGCCCTTTCTTCCTGATTTCAGGGAGACAAAGAAAATAAAGGACAAGAGAAGGAAAGCTGACTCTGGGTTGAAGTTGGTGTTATGTTCAGGTAAGATCAGCTTTCGTCCTACCAAGTGAGGAGCTTTCTGAGGTACTCTCTGGCTCAAGAGAGGCACACAGGAGTTTACTGGATGGATGGATGTATGGATGGATGTATGGATGGATGGATGGATGGATGGATGGATTCACTAATGAAGACCTGATTCACATCTATAAGATCCCATCATTCCCTTGAGCTGTCAAAGCTTAAGAAGGTCTATTGCTCTGGCTGCACAGAAGGGTGATGGGCCCTCAGTCCCCAGGCAGCCTGCACTGGTGAAGGGATGAGGGCTAGATGGTCTTAGAAATCATGTGCATAAGGCCTCAGCCTCTGTCAGTCCATTGGTGTGATATCAATGCTGAGACAATTACTCAAACTTATGTGATAAATGTTGCCTCTTGAATGGATGTTAGTGAACAGAGGGGACTGGAGACTGCAGCAGGAGTCTGTGGCTCAGTGGCCAAGCTAGGGTTACTCACAGCCAGGCGGTTCTGCCGTTCCTTCTCCCGCTCATTGCGAATGCGCTGCTGCTCAGCCCGCTCTGCCCGCCGCTTTTCCTAGGGAGAGAGGCAGAAGCTCTTGTATGTGCCCGTAAGGGGTGTTATCCTCAGTACAGGGACCTGAATGTGCCTTATTTCATGTGCTCTGCCTTTTAGCCTGCTCCATGGATGCAGATGGAAGGGGCCCATCACAGGTGAGCCCCATGGAAGAGGGCCCTGTCTAGGTAAGGACAGCTACTCCAGAGCCCAGTGGAAACTGTCTCAACTCTGAGAGAAATGCCAAGTGGTTTCTTTTATCTACCACAAGGCCTACACCCCCACCCTAGCTGCAGCCGGGCCCTGGCAGCTTCTCTGAGCTCAAAGACCCCTGGCTGGAGTTCACATCTGAAGAAAGCAATTGCACAAAGAGAAAAACAAGGAATCCAATAATCTCTTCTCTCCGGGTGACATTCTGGGTGACACTTAGGACTCTGCAGGCTGCTCCATGTTCCTTGCATTAGTGGGACAGCTGTACCCCATGGGTAGGAGGCAGAGACAGGGTAGAACACAGGCATTTGATTAATCATTCTTTAGCTAGTGGCATCCAGTTAGGCCCTGCTGGAGCCCAGAACTGATCAGGATCAGCTCCTCTTATCAAGGAGCATCCAGGCTGGTAGACAGACAGCAGGGACCCAAGGAGAACCACTTAGTACTGGGGGACCCTGAAGGAGAGCAGCATCCAGGAAGTTAGGAGCTTGAAACAGGTTGCAGGGGAGGAGGATAGGGTGGGCTGCAGGTGAGGAGATTGACACCTACGATCCTGTCTTTGAGAGAAATGAGCTCCTCCTCCTCTTTCTTCCTGTTCTCAAAATGAGCCTCAATCAGCGTTTGCAGCTCGTTCAGGTCCTTCTCCATGCGCTTCCTGTGGATGTCCTGCAGGTGGACCCTAGGGGTTAGAGGCTGCCACACCCATGAATCAGGGGGGCTCAATGCAGAAGGTGCTGTCAGGCCTTGGGGCACGAATCTGGCCATATTCAAGGGCTGGCATCCAGCCTGGCCTGCACTAAGCACCATCCTGCCTGTGACCTGACCCAGCCCACAAGGTCAGGAGCTCTCTTACTCTCTCATTAGGATGCTTGTGACCACCCCAGCCTGACCTACTCTACCCACAGCCACCACTCACATCAAAGTCCACTCTCTCTCCATCGGGGATCTTGGGTGGCACCAAGTTGGGCATGAACAGCCTGTTGGAGAGAGAAGTAAGGAGTCAGGAGTTACCAATGCTGGCTATTGGGGACTTGAGGGACTGTGTGCCTGGATCCACCAGGGCAGGAACTTCTACCACAGCAATGATGTTAATACCAGTATCAATCTTATTACCCAGACTTTCATTGAGGTTGTTTCATTTTGTCCTCTCAATAGACCCCTGGAGGGGGGAACACTTGCCTTTGCTAGGAAAACTGAGGCTCAGAGAGACTGGCTCAAAACTACAGATCTGGGAAGCAGAAGGGCTGAGCTAAGATGGTACACCAGGGTAAGGTCTCTGGTCCTTGGTTTCCCCGCCTGCCCTCAGGTCTTGTGGAGCCAAAAGAAGATACTGCAGGATAAGCATAGCAGCCAGCAAAGGGGAAGGACGAATGAGTGGAACTGGGACTGGCACAGGCCACTGAAGGCCACAAGGGTGCTGAGATGCCGTCTGATGGCAGGATAAGCACTCCAAGAGGGAAGTTCTCCGTGTCCTCAACAGGCCTACCCTCACAGCCTCCAGATGTGATTCTGTGTATGGGACCAAACTGTGTTCTGCCCCTTTGCAGTTCCCTGAAGTGGTCATGGCGAAGTCGTGCCTAAGTCATTATGGTTTCGCCTCTTGGATCCCCAAAATTTGCCCCCCTTTTCTCCTAGGTTCTACCCTCACAAGGGAAGATGTTTCGGCCATCCTGTGGGATAGGGTAGTATGTCTGTCCCAGGCCAGGACTAGTCCACCCCATCACTGTAGATGAGCATTAACTCTATCCATGCCAGTGTGCATTATTGGTAATAAAATGCAGTGTGTTTAAGCTGAGATCTTTGTGTAGTATACTGTATACAACCCTATGTAGTATTCTGTGCCTACTGCACCTCCTTGTGCTCACCACACCACTTGCTCTCCTGTCTGTCCCTTGTCACCCTCACTCACTGGCCTCTGCTCCCAGGGCTTTAACACAGGTTGGCACATCTCACTCACCTAGGCTTAGGTTTAGATTCCTCTACTGGGCCATCTGGAGGAAAAAGAAGCATACAGGTACAGGATTAGGAAACCTGGCTCTATTCTCAACTGCACCCTGATGAGCTAGGCACCCATGAGCCTCTGTTTCCACCTCTGTATAGGCAGTCCCTCTCACCCCTGGTGAATTTGGAATTCCAGAAACATCATTAAGCAGGAAGGTAGCCCCAAGGGGAGGTCACAGAGAATGGCAGTCTGCAGGCCTAACGCACTCAGCCTGGAGCCTCAGCACCTTCTCTCGTTTATCAATTGTAAGTTGGGCAGGCTGCTTCTCACAGTGAAGCAGGGTCCTGTGGGAAGGTTCCCAGAGGTGCTGATCTAGAACTCCCAAGTCTGCCTTCATGGTTTATGCCCTGGGCTTCCTGGTGGCCACAGGGCCAGGGAACTGGTAGGTATGATTCCAAGTCCTAACTAGCTGTCCCTCCCTGTGCAGGTGTGGCTGTAGCCAGCTGGAAGCCTAATAGAGGTTGCTGCCTGATAAGGACCACAGCAATGACCTATCATGTGAACCATCTATGTCTTATAAGTCTATCCTATAAACACCATACCCCACTGGCATTTTGCCTGGGCATCAGGAACCTCAGGTGTGATGTGACTTCTGAGTCTACTGCCCTGTACAGACCAGGGGCTGGGGAGTAGCTCCCTCTTGTACTGGGCACCGAGGCCACTTCTCTAGGGTAAAGAGAGCAAATGTTTAGACAAGAGTTTCCCGATCCCTACAGGTACCATCAAGTTCTTCCCTCTCCTCCCTCAAACCCTTTCCTGCCTTCTGGAAGGTTCCCCAGTTTCTCCCAGAGCTTCCATGAAGGACTCCCTTGTCACCCCAAAGTTCTCCCTTGATGCCCAGCAGCCCTTACCTTCAGCCTCTTTGGCTTCTTCATCTGGACCATCCTCTAAACAAAACACACACAATGAATAAAGCTCCTGTTCTGAGCCCAAATTCCCCCAAGAGCATTCCTAATTGGCCTTAGCCCAGGCTAGCCTGCTGGTGTGTGGAGTTAGTCAGCTGCCCTGGACCCAACATTGCCTGGCATGAAAGTAGGACTGGATTGATTACTCTCTCATTAGGATGCTTGTGACCACCCCAGCCTGACCTACTCTACCCACAGCCACCACTCACATCAAAGTCCACTCTCTCTCCATCGGGGATCTTGGGTGGCACCAAGTTGGGCATGAACAGCCTGTTGGAGAGAGAAGTAAGGAGTCAGGAGTTACCAATGCTGGCTATTGGGGACTTGAGGGACTGTGTGCCTGGATCCACCAGGGCAGGAACTTCTACCACAGCAATGATGTTAATACCAGTATCAATCTTATTACCCAGACTTTCATTGAGGTTGTTTCATTTTGTCCTCTCAATAGACCCCTGGAGGGGGGAACACTTGCCTTTGCTAGGAAAACTGAGGCTCAGAGAGACTGGCTCAAAACTACAGATCTGGGAAGCAGAAGGGCTGAGCTAAGATGGTACACCAGGGTAAGGTCTCTGGTCCTTGGTTTCCCCGCCTGCCCTCAGGTCTTGTGGAGCCAAAAGAAGATACTGCAGGATAAGCATAGCAGCCAGCAAAGGGGAAGGACGAATGAGTGGAACTGGGACTGGCACAGGCCACTGAAGGCCACAAGGGTGCTGAGATGCCGTCTGATGGCAGGATAAGCACTCCAAGAGGGAAGTTCTCCGTGTCCTCAACAGGCCTACCCTCACAGCCTCCAGATGTGATTCTGTGTATGGGACCAAACTGTGTTCTGCCCCTTTGCAGTTCCCTGAAGTGGTCATGGCGAAGTCGTGCCTAAGTCATTATGGTTTCGCCTCTTGGATCCCCAAAATTTGCCCCCCTTTTCTCCTAGGTTCTACCCTCACAAGGGAAGATGTTTCGGCCATCCTGTGGGATAGGGTAGTATGTCTGTCCCAGGCCAGGACTAGTCCACCCCATCACTGTAGATGAGCATTAACTCTATCCATGCCAGTGTGCATTATTGGTAATAAAATGCAGTGTGTTTAAGCTGAGATCTTTGTGTAGTATACTGTATACAACCCTATGTAGTATTCTGTGCCTACTGCACCTCCTTGTGCTCACCACACCACTTGCTCTCCTGTCTGTCCCTTGTCACCCTCACTCACTGGCCTCTGCTCCCAGGGCTTTAACACAGGTTGGCACATCTCACTCACCTAGGCTTAGGTTTAGATTCCTCTACTGGGCCATCTGGAGGAAAAAGAAGCATACAGGTACAGGATTAGGAAACCTGGCTCTATTCTCAACTGCACCCTGATGAGCTAGGCACCCATGAGCCTCTGTTTCCACCTCTGTATAGGCAGTCCCTCTCACCCCTGGTGAATTTGGAATTCCAGAAACATCATTAAGCAGGAAGGTAGCCCCAAGGGGAGGTCACAGAGAATGGCAGTCTGCAGGCCTAACGCACTCAGCCTGGAGCCTCAGCACCTTCTCTCGTTTATCAATTGTAAGTTGGGCAGGCTGCTTCTCACAGTGAAGCAGGGTCCTGTGGGAAGGTTCCCAGAGGTGCTGATCTAGAACTCCCAAGTCTGCCTTCATGGTTTATGCCCTGGGCTTCCTGGTGGCCACAGGGCCAGGGAACTGGTAGGTATGATTCCAAGTCCTAACTAGCTGTCCCTCCCTGTGCAGGTGTGGCTGTAGCCAGCTGGAAGCCTAATAGAGGTTGCTGCCTGATAAGGACCACAGCAATGACCTATCATGTGAACCATCTATGTCTTATAAGTCTATCCTATAAACACCATACCCCACTGGCATTTTGCCTGGGCATCAGGAACCTCAGGTGTGATGTGACTTCTGAGTCTACTGCCCTGTACAGACCAGGGGCTGGGGAGTAGCTCCCTCTTGTACTGGGCACCGAGGCCACTTCTCTAGGGTAAAGAGAGCAACTGTTTAGACAAGAGTTTCCCGATCCCTACAGGTACCATCAAGTTCTTCCCTCTCCTCCCTCAAACCCTTTCCTGCCTTCTGGAAGGTTCCCCAGTTTCTCCCAGAGCTTCCATGAAGGACTCCCTTGTCACCCCAAAGTTCTCCCTTGATGCCCAGCAGCCCTTACCTTCAGCCTCTTTGGCTTCTTCATCTGGACCATCCTCTAAACAAAACACACACAATGAATAAAGCTCCTGTTCTGAGCCCAAATTCCCCCAAGAGCATTCCTAATTGGCCTTAGCCCAGGCTAGCCTGCTGGTGTGTGGAGTTAGTCAGCTGCCCTGGACCCAACATTGCCTGGCATGAAAGTAGGACTGGATTGATATGCATCAAACAGAAAATGGGCTGCTGCCTCTCAGCCCAGACAGGAGGTGCAAGCACACAAGTTGGAAGGCATGTTGTAAATGGGCTTCTTAAAAGCACCACTCAAGCCGGGCGTGGTAGCACACGCCTGTAGTCCCAGCCCTTGGGAGGCAGAGGCAGGAGGATCTCTGTGAGTTCAAGGCCAGCCTGGTCTACATAGTGAGTTGCAGGACAGCTCAGGCTACGGGGAGACCCTGTCTCAAAAAAAAATCACCACCCAAGGCCCTTACACTCTTACCCTGGGCCATACCTTCTGCTTTGGTCTCCTCAGTCTCTGCCTCAGCCTCAGCCTCTGCTTCAGCCTCACCATCCTCTTCCTCCTCCACTGCCTCTTCATGCTCTGGAGAAGTAAACGAGACACTGTGAACTACTTTTCCTACGAGCAAACAGAACCCAGAACAGAGGAGACTGGGAGGGGTGGGACAGGGCCAGTGGTACCAGGATCACATAAATTTGGGAGCCACTGATGTAATTGACAGAAGGGAGGTTGCTTGGTTCCTGGTTTAAACCAGAAGTCAGCAAACTAGAGGTCAAAGTCACATGCATCCTGAGACTACTTCTGTCAGCAAAGGTTGGCGGGCACACAACCTCACCCACCCATCTACACTGCCTTCCATGCCACACCTTCACAGCTGAGTCAGTGTAGCAGAGACTGCAAGGTATGCCGGCCTGAAGTATCCACTGTCTATTCCTTTTCAGGAAAAGTGAAACACCACAGGAGGGCCATCAGGCTTGTGAATGTCCCAAATTGGTCTTCCTGGGAACTGGGAATTAGAGCTGGGTCTTTACCAGAGGCTACTGGGCAAGCTAGTAATCTGAGGTAGGAACATATGATGTTGTGGTGGGTGCTATAGGGAGCACAGTAATGGGGGCAGCAAGACTCACCATGGGGTCAGGTTGGGGTAGAGGCCTGTCCAGCCTCCTTCTGCCCAGCTTAGTACTTCCTTCCCCCACAACATCTCTCATGATATAACTGCACCACCTTCCCTAACTTTTCACCCCAGAAGCTCCACTCAGTGCCTGGCACATGATGGGTCTTGATTAAAGCAAGGTGCTAGGAAAGTTCTGTTGTGAATCTAATGGCTCTTCAAGTCTATAGACCCCTCCTTCCATCTCTAAAATAAACCAAAGCTATGAGGCTGTGCGGGTGGATGAGAAGCCCAACTTTTAGGGAGTTGCACTACCCAGAAGGTTGCCAGAAATTTCTATTTTCATCCATTTGCTTGGCAGGATGTGGACCCCGCCTCTAACAACACTCAGAGGGGACAGACAGATTAAGGAGACAGGATGCCATTCAGACCATGACTCTGCCTGGCAGAAGTGCTTGTAACACTCAGTGATGGATAGACTGACAAATGGTGGCCCTTTGGCAGAGGGAGAAGAAAACACCTCAGGAGAGAAGGGAGAATCATCAAGGGAGAAACGGCACCTCCACTCCCTCTGACCATCTTCTCTGACCTTTCCAAGGACTGAGTCCTCTCTGAGGCTTAGAGATACCACTTCTTTCAATCCTGCAGGAAGTTTACCAGATGACTTGAGAGTAGAGGGGAATGGCCAGTTGTAGGGTCCACTTTCAGGCCACTATGTTACCCTCTCTCACCTGCCCTAGACTTCCTTTCTCTGTGCCACATACCCCTCACTCAGTGGTCATGTAGCAGTCCAATGAGTGGATCACACTCACTCACCGCCTCCCTAAGCCATCCGTGCATCTCATAATGTCATTGTAGGAAAGCTGGTCCTAAAATTAAGCCCCATTTTGTCGCCTTTGCCCTCATGCTATCCTTGGAAGCAAGTTCAGCATTGTCCCACCACTCAGCATCACGTATCTGCAGACTGGTATCATGCCCTCTTTGCTCTGGTCACTTCCAGTCCCCCAGCTGTTCTTCAGTGACTTTGTCCCCAAGGCCCTACACCCTTGATCACTGTGCCTTAGGCCAGCCAGCTCACAGGGAAGGTCCCCTCATGGAACACTGGCATGTGCAGTGGAACAGTTGGGAATACTCATTCCTTCCACAAGTGTCCCTCTGTGGCCACATTTGAAGAAGGTGGACAACTGGACAGCCTAGATCCTTCCCACCACCCACCCCAGGGAAAGATCAGGAACTAGGAGAAGGAACAGGTGAGGGGTCTGAGGTCCTGGACTCTCTGAGGATGGGGAGGTAATGACTGGTCCACCTAATACTCCCTACCCCAAGCCCAGAGCAAGGGGTGAGCAGGCAAGCAGGGAATGGGAAGCAGGACAGGGAAAGCTGTACTACCGTCTTCGTCCTCTCTCCAGTCTTCGTCTTCCAGGTTCAAGGAGTGGCAGCAGCACAGGGGAGAAGCGGAACAGGTTAGTGTGCAGCAGAAAGCCTGGTGGTAGTGCAGGCTGCAGTGGGCTCAGCATTAGGCCTGAGCTCCAATTCCCAAGCCAACACTCAAGACATGTGGTAGACTCTTCGGTGATGTCATTGAGCCTCGGGTGCCAGTAAAATGGAAATCATGACAGTCACTTCCAAACCATTGTTGAAAACTGAATGGTCTAGCATTCCCGACACCAAGCAGTACCTGGCATATGAAAGCATTCAGAAAGCTCTAACTAGCCTTGGCCTGCTTCTATACTACAGGCCTTGGCTTCCCTCTCACTAAGACAGGACCCCAAAAGCAGAAAGGGGGGACAATTTGCTCCCCTCCAACTTCTCCCACATTCCTGCCCTGAGTGAGCCTGGGAGATATCCCACAAACACCTGCAGATTCCCAGAGTCACACCAAGAGCTGTACCAAGGAAGCCAGCCTGGCCTGTTGGAAGGAGCTGCCTGTGTAAGGTCTGGCCTCATAACTTAAGGAGATGGAATATGTTTCCCCATTGTTCTAGTTGCACATCTCTGCCCAAGAACAGCTTACAGCACTGGGAAGAGCCTCTCTTCTGGAAGAAGAGACCCTTAGGGCTATCTGTCCTGTATGCTCCAGGCCCTCATCTAGACCCTGCCATTCTGTGGTGGTTGATGGGCAGATCCTTAGCTGAGAGAGAAAGGGCACTTCGGGCCATTCAGGGGAAGCAAGGCAAATGTAGATCCTACAAGGAGTTTGGTGGAGAACTCCCTTAGCTCTCAGCTAGATCCTACTATTTGTAGCAGCCAGGATGAGGTCTGATTCCCAAACTCTACCACCAGAACTTGTTGTGATTAAGCAAAGATCCTCCTAGGCAAAGGAAGCCCCAACAGATCAAATCTATCACTATAGAAGAAGTTGGAGCCAGCTGGGTTTTGTATTAAAAGATGTTTTTAAAGCTGGGCATGGTGACTCATGCCTGTAATCCCAGTACTGAGCCTGAGGAAGGAGGATTGTCACAAGTTTGAAGTCAACCTGAACTCAAAAAAGAGCAAAACTCATGAGTTAGAAACTTAAATCAGTGGTAGATTTCAGTCCCTGGGACCAGGAGTGGGGGCTGTTTCTGGTGGCACCTGAAAACCAGAAATGTTACCTGTGGGTCCCTTCCTGTTTACAGCTCCTATTTGGTTAGATGATCCAAAACAGGCTTAAAGGACCAAGAGGCTCCCCACTTTCCCTAGAAGGCCTGGGAGCCAAATGAGAGGCCACTCCCTGGGCCTTCAGAGACCCTTCTCATGTCCACTGCCTTGTGCCTTTGCTGAACCACTGCACACCAGGCTAGTGTCTGCCTGTGGTACAGAAACCAGAAGCCACAGGGCCATTTGGGGCCCTTTGTGAGCTAGATGGGAACTAGAAGAAGGTCTCAGTCACTTTCTTTGTCAAACTCCCAGGAGGGAGGAAGGACCAGGGTATTCTTCCAGAGAGAGGAAACCCCAATCCGAGGAGGATGATAGATAAGCCATCATATCCAAGAGGCAGGGACAGCAAGATGGACTTTTGCCATGTAGCAATAAAGCTTCATGCCTATGCTAGATAGCTTTAGTGTCAACTTGACACACCTGGGTTGAGGGAGCCTCAATTGGGAAATTGCCTTCATTGAACTGGCCTGTGGCCATGTCTGTGGGCATCTTCTTGATTGTTGTGTGATGTGAGAGGGTCCAGCCCACTGTGGGTGGTGCCACCCCTGGGCAGGTGGGTCTGTGTGTCATAAGAAAGCAGGCTGAGCAGGGGGCAAGGGAGCAAGCCAGTAAGCAGCATCCCTCCATGGCCTGTGCTCCAGCTCCTGCCTCCAGGTTCCTGCCCTGAGTTCCTACCCATGGTTCCCTGATGAACTGTGACCTGGAAGACATAAGATAAAATAAACCCTTTCCTCCCCAAGTTGGTATTGGTCAGAGTATTTTGTCACAGCAATGGAGAGACAAACTAGGACAATGCCTATAGAAAATGTCCCAGGTAACTGAGTGCTTTCACATTCATAATGACATTGAAACATTATTAAATGGAATGTTCTTTGGTCTGATTGTGGCATTGTAGTTATGTTTACTTGTTTGTTTGATTAATAGTGCTTATCTTTTAGAAATGCATGCTGAAATATTAAAGTATCTGAATATTAAGGTATCTGAAGATATTGGGAGTGTTTGCTTCAGAACAGCTGGGGGCAGCTGGAGTAGAGATGGAAAAAGACTAATCATATATTTATGACCGTGGAGGCTGAGTGATGCATATTGGGGGGGGGCATCATTATTAATTTCTTGTCTTTATATACATTTCAAAATTTTCATGATAAAGAAATAGACAAGGGCCTAGAGAGATGGCTCAGCAGTTAAGAGCACTTGTTGCTCTTGCAGAGGATCTGGGTTCAGTTTCCAACACCCACATGGTGGCTAACAATTGTCATAACTCCAGTTCCAGGGAAGATCAGATGCCCTCTTCTGGCCTTCCTGAGCATTGCATGCATGGCTGCACTTACCTACATGAAGGCAAAACACTCATATACATTAAATAAATAAATAAATAAATAAATAAATAAATAAATAAATAAATAAAGCAAAAGGCTGGGAATGTTTGCTCACACCTTT